AAAACGAACTATTCTACATATAATGGGCCTTCTACAATAAGCTATTAGTCATAAATCAGAAGTAAGAAGCTGAAAACTGACGATTGTGATTGGTCAATTTCCAGCTTCTAACTTCTGATTTATGACTAATGGCTTATTGTAGAATGCCTCTAAGAATTAAATACCTAACAGGCCAATGATATTGTCATGCTTTAACTCTTGCAACAATTTAATTTCTCGTAAAGCAGTCCGATTTATGCCATCTCTAGCTTCAGCACGACTTCCAACTTTAATCTACATTTACAAATATAAAAAGTTTATAATACAAATTGTATAAGTTGTAGAAATGTATATTTTTCATAATGACGAAACTAACCTTTTTCACAGCCACAATTTTATTCGTCTCTACATCTTTTGCTTTGTAAACCGTGGCAAACTAAAGTAGACAACACAATTTATCTACATTTATATTTATTACATTTTTATAATTAATAATTGAATCATATTGACGTTACAAACAAAGCTATGTATATAAATATTATATGCCTTAAATATTTAAAACAGGTATCATGTGATTACACGCTATCACAAATATAATTTATTCAATGTATAAAGCGTTATAAAAATAAATATACAATACAGTATAAACTAAACCATAATAATGTTTAAAAAACGTTCTAACCTGTCCTTCACCTAGGAAATCGATTTTCTCATATCTCCGCACTTTTTCTGTCATTGTCAGCAAAATTTTATTCCTTACAAGTTGCTTTTTTTATTATTTTATTTTCAAATGACACGTCTTGTATAATACTCCACTTTTCTCATCGGACAACATGTGTTTACCTGTCAAACAAAAAAAGCACGCGAAAAACACAAGTGAACACAGAGGTTCGCATTCAGAACGCGTTTTTATCGATAAAGCCCAAGACAAATAAACTGTCCAATCGCAAGCATTCTGTCAATTGCGCTCCGCCGATACGCTTTTCTAAACCAATCACGAGCGTTCCGCCAATTTCTCATTGCGCCAATTCCGCATCATGGGACGGCACCATTAGTGCTACACATTCTTCGGAATGCTTCACTCTGATTTCACCATGAGCCATAGCAGTCATTTTGATTAAACGTCCAACTAAATGGGAACAGTTCCATCCAAGTGCAGTCCAGTGCAGTCAACGAGTATTGTCAAGAGTATCTCACACTGATCTCGCACATTGTGAAAAATTGTCGGGTAAATGGCGGGTCATAATTATTTGAGCGATCCAAAAAATCCATTCTTCTCATTAGAGGATGACGTGGACGATGAAACGTTTCTGAGGAATGCTCCAGTTAGAACTGCATCCGCGGGGCATTATCAGAACTTTGATAATGATATTACGCAAACACGCCAACAATTGCTGCAACGTAAGAAGGAAATCGAGGAAAACACGGTACAGTCTTCAGAAAGATCTGTTTCGCTTCTAAGAGACTCGGAGCAAATTGGTGTAGCTACAGCCGAGGTAATTGTAATGATGCATTATCAGTTTGCTATCGTCACTAGTATGCTGATAGTATGACAAATGACAGAAAATTTATGTCTGCTTAACATATTTAATAAATAAAATAATTTTGATTTTTCTATGACACTTATTGGCTGAGTTCGAGGAGACGCTATTAATGCTATTTGTGTCATTCTATCTTCATTGTCCACTAGACTTGAAAAAAGGTTAGCATAGATATCAATTAGCACTGATAGCGCGCTCCCCAAACCCAGCCATTGTATTATCATTAATATGTATAAACTATTATCTAAATTTATATTTTCAGGAATTAATCAGACAAAAGGAACAGTTGCAGAGGACAGAAAAAAGATTAGATGATATTAATAGTACATTAAGATTTAGCCAAAAGCACATACAGGGCATAAAGAGTGTATTTGGTAGTCTGAAAAATTATCTCAGTGGTAAATCTTTAGATGCTCCGATATCATCCACAAAGTTGTCAGAATCTTCCAGTTCTGGATCTATGACATCTCCTGCATTGTCTAATACATTAGAACAAGTACAAAGCAATATAAACAATTCATATTCATCAACAATGATAAGAGGAAGTTATGATGAGCACGATCTGGAAGATGTTAAACCTGCCGGCGATAGAATAACTAAAGTTCTCGAACAGAATCTAAGTGAGATGAGTGGATCATTGGCAAGACTGAAACATCTAGCAATCGGTTTATCTGAAGAGATTGATTCACAGAATGATTTGATTGATAATATAACCGATAAAACAGAGAAAGCTGATATAATGTTGCAGCAACAAAATAAAGATATGTTACATTTATTGAAGAAATAAGTTCGACATCCGTCATACATCAAAAACTTTTTGCTTGTAATAATATATACTAACTGTACTTCTATGAAGTATAGATATATAGTATGCGTTAAGCAACAGAACAAATTTTTGACATTAATTTGTATTGTTGAATCATTGTATGTCAACCGTACAATTATATTGTGGGATGTGTTTTATAGAGTTTTTTACAAAGCAAGATTATGCAATCTTTACATAATAATTACAATGAAACCTATAGAACATATTTGTTACTAGAGATCGTGATTTTTAATGAGGAAAAGCCTTTTCTTTGGCAGTTGTCCGTACTATAAAACTAAACGTGATAGCTTTACTTGCAAATGTTAAACAAAGATGTTTTCATTATTTCTTAAGATCTTTTGTAATCTTTTAAAATGAGAACTGTGATAAGTGTACACACATATGTATTTCTGTACATAGTAATTGTCCTAAATAAATCTTGATTTAATAAAAGTATAAACACACATGAATTATTGAAGAAATAAAAAGATTACAAAATTGTATACATGGACATATTTATATAATAATGAGAAAATTATAATTTATACTATTTTCATTAGTTTTATACAAGGTATTTATTATTATATAAATAGGTTGAATAACATTTCTGAATGATTCAATATAAATTTTAATTATAAGGACACTTTCAGAATGCTTGAACTGATGTGAATCTCTACAAATTCGTTTCTTACATTTCTAAATCTTTTAATAGTTTGTGCAATTTTGAATTTACATATATGTGCATTGTATGTATAAAAAATAGTTTAATTGATTTATATAAAGAGCAATAATATGCAATATATACGATAGTCGATAGATAATAATTATATGTAATTATAATTTATCAATTTCATAATATTCTTTCCTTTTTAGTTTTATATATAGATATAGAATATAAAATTATGGATAATTAAAATGATATCAATACACATTTGTACAATAAATATATACTATACATTATATATATATACTATACATTATATATATATGTAATATATACACTATTCAACAAAATTGAAGGATCACTTGTTCCACCCTATAAAAATAGGCAAATTTCAAAATAGAATAACTTTGTCAAAGATCATCTTATCGAGATGTTTAAAAAAGCATTTTAAAGCTTGAAACCTCTACTTTTCAGATCGGTATTTAAGAAAACGGTCTTGTTGATATTTTGTGAAGTTACATAAACATAAATGTAGACGCATCAGATATCAAAATTTTTTTACGAAATTTGCGAAGTGCCATGGCGCGAATTAAAAATTGTACACAAATGCGGTTTACATCTTTCGAAAGAGTAAATCTTTACCTTTAATTTGTTTTTTTATGAAGCTCGTACGATTTTTTTTCACCAAGTTATTCAACATTGAAGTAAAAACGACCCTTTTTGCTTCGATGTTAAATAACTCAATGAAAAAAAATCGTACAGAGATTAATAAAAAAGCAAATTAAAGGTAAAGATTCACTCTTTCGAAAGCTGTAAACCGCATTTGTGCGCAATATTTAATTCGCGCCGTAAAATTTCGTAAATTTCATGATCTGATGCAAAATTTTGTGATTTGATGCATCTTCATTTATGTTTGTGTAACTTCATCAAATATCAGACGATATTCTAAAATATCGATCTAAATAGACAATAGAGATTTTAAGCTTTAAAACATTTTTTTAAACATCTCGATACGATGATTTTTAACGAAGTTATTCTATCTTGAAATTTGCCTGCTGCGTCTCAATAAAATTAAAGTTATTTAAAATCATCGTCAAAAAAACCAAATTCAAATTTCACATATCTCCGCGAAGAATGGTCGCGATATTCGAAAAAGTATTTTAAAGCCATAACAAATTTCTTTAATTGTAAACTAAGTTTAATACTTTCTTTTTAAAATGGTTTTTAATCATTATTACAATTTTTTTACTAAGTGATTTGAAGTGAATAGTACATTTTCTAGTCCTCTTTCTCTAAAAATTTTTTTTTAATTTACTATTAATAAAAATTATTACTTCGTAAAATAAGTGTTTTTGATGTCGCAGAACACGTTTCTAAAATCAAATTATCGAAATTTTATGTAGAAATAGTATTATTTACCTATATATAGGTAAGTCTAAATAAGTCGAATTGTGTGTGTGAATAACATAGACATTTACGTACATATGAAACTTTCCTTTAGCGTAATCCAGGACTAACGACGTGGACGTAGAAAGTTATGTAGTCCCTTTTTTC